TATATAGTTTGTGTATATTTTATTAAAATTTTGTGCTTTATCCATAGGACTTGTTTTGTCCCTATTCTCAAGAATCACTGAATTGGTATGCTCCACTATGAAGCCTCAACCATCAGCGGGCTGGAGTCCGCGCCAGTTACAGAGAACACACAGTACGCCAGACTATGTGTGAGAGTTTAAAGTTAGAAAATGTCAGTATAACCTTGAATACAAAGACAATAGAAGTACAGAGATGTGTAAAGTTATCTAAACTGTCTAAACTGGCTAAAAATCAATCCTCCAGCTGCAGCTGATCCAGAACACTGCTGCTGCTGGTGTTCTCACTAAAACCAGGAAGATAGAGAACATCACCCAGTTATAAAGTCCATCTACTGGCTCCATGTAGCTCAGAGAAAAGACGTTAAACTATTTATGTTAGTTTATAAATCACTGAACGGCTCAGCACCACAATACATTAAAGATCTGCTGTTGTTGTATCAACCATCCAGGCCCCTCAGGTCTTCTGGTTCTGGTTCTGCTCTGCATCCCCAGAACCAGAACCAAACATGGAGAAGCAGCATTCAGCTTCTATGCACCACAAATCTGGAACAAACTTCCAGAAAACTGCAAAACAGCTGAAACACTGAGTTCCTTTAAATCAAGGCTAAAACTTCACTTGTTTAAAGTTGCTTTTGACCCATAAAAACTGGAGTATTGACATATCTGATAGGTATTGATGAGTTTGATGAAGACATCTGACAAAATGTAATGTTTGTTGCTTGTTTCATAATTGATGACTGTATTATGTTTTTATGACGCAAAGCACGTTAACTGCCTTGATGATGAAATGTGACATACAAATAACATTGACTTGACTTAAATGGAAAGTGTGATTTCTGACATGTCAAGACATGGCTCTAACTATCTTGTTCATTCAGACAGAGAAAGAGATAAACACACAGAGAGAGAGAGAGCGCTTTTAACAGATTAACAGGAAGGCTGAAAACATATTACAGAAAGTAGTCACTCCATTTCATACTTTTGAGCTGGCAATTTTTGGGAAATTATTAATATACTGAAAACTGTGTTTATGCTGTTGTTATTAAAGAGAAATTAGAACAGACTAAAATCAGCATTAGGTCAAAACTTTAGGAAAATTTAAAGACCCAGAATCAACCTCAGCACTGGACAGTAAACGAACCTGAAAGCTTCAATGACAAAGGAAGAGACAGGAGAGGCTCCGGTCATCCCGGGCTGCCACGACAATGACACGCTGTTCTTGGTAACGTCGGTGACCTGGGGCTTAGACGGTGGACCTGGAAGCTCGATCTCATCATAGCTCTTTGTGACAATCACTGCCAATGATTCTGTTCAGAGGAGACAAAATGGAGGAGAAGTTTAACTTTACCACACTCCAGACTCATTGGAAACCTGGTAAAGATGGATTACAAGCCTTAATATACATATTTATAATACTATAGCAGCAGTATCTCACACTGACAAACTTAAGAATATCAAACCGTTAAATTTTTTCAGTGGGGGAAAATTTGGTTTATCATTTATCATGATAAGAATTTTGATTACCTGTTGTCATAATAAATTTCAGTTATTGATGGTAAGTAAAAAACAAAACTGACAGTTTTGCTATTTTCTCCAATGTCTGTTCCACGAGAGCATCAATAAATATCAGTAAATTCCAAAATATGATTAAATACAATTACCGAATACAAATACAATTATTGAACTGCACACAATTACTGTGTGCAGTTCAGTGATAAAAATCACACTTTTTAAAAATAAATAGTTTTGTCTAATGATAATCTTTATCATTTTCACAATAATACCACAAAATATTGCGATAAAATTCTAAGTCCGTATCGCCCACCTCTGATTGTTTGAAACCCCACAATATTTCTATTAAATCAACAAGGACCTATTTTTTAAATACAAAGCTTACTTTTTACCTTTAATTTTCAATTTTTAAATTAGAATTAATGTCATCCTGCTTCTGTATTTGAGATGAATATGAAGAGACAAGAGAACAAATTAATCAGGTAACGCAGGTGGGATTGTAAGTTAGGAAATGGCAAAGAGTTAAAAAATTAAAAGCAACAGGAACTGTGATAAAAATGGCAGAATGAGTGTAAGTTCTCATTACGCACTGTGAGAACGATTGGAAGGTCTCCAAAAAAAAAGAAAAAGAAATCTCAGTTTTAGAGAACACTCAAACATTTTTCACTGTGAGATTATGTTACAGGATGACAGAAATGTGAAATATTTTATTCTAAGACATTCAGCACATTACAAGACTCTGGAACCGACCAGAAGTTATAACAACTACAGAGAATGTGATTCACCTTTGACTTCCAAGAAAGCGCTCCACGACGTTTCCCCGCTTGAGCTGGTGGCCACACACGTGTAGATCCCCGAGTCTGAGAGCTGGCATGAAAGCAGGAGTCAGAACAACACCACTGGCAGCACCGGCACACAGATCGAACACACACGTAGATTGAAAAGTCTCCTGCTGTAACACTTCCACTGAAGACAATGGAACACCACGGAGAAGGCTGTGCAAGCTAGCCCTCTGCTGGACAAACCGACCGTCATTTCAAAGTGCTGACGCTAATTTCCTAATGAATTCCATTTTCCACTCACCACCCTTCCATCACTTTCCCACCACCTCCTACTCATTTCCCCCCTCTGACCACAACAAAGCTGGGCTAATTAATTTAGGGTGGGCTGCTGGAACTCCTGGACCGATGACAGCTGGCATGCCTCTCCATCTCTCTCAGGAACTTTGCTTGTTTGTTGGTTTTTTTGTTTTTTCTGTCCCTGTGCTTTCCCTCCATTTATTAAATAACATGTCAGTGGTCTGCAGCTTTGTCAAGCGTAATGGGTATTCCACTGAGGCCTCTGAGTGGGTGAAGGAAGTTGCGAGCCTCTTAAATTCAATCTCGTGGAAATGCGCTTCGTGCGTACGTGTGTGTATGTTTCAGTAAGTGAATATATATTCACTCAAACAGCTGGAGTCCATTCATCCATTCACAGCTGAGCCCGGCTGAGGTCTCCACATCTCTAAGTGATGCTATCAAAATCAATGCGGGCTATTCATCTGGACATCATGTCGGACCTTTTTGATCTAATTTGCAAGCTCAACCATACACAACATATTAATATATCATGACAACTTTTAAGATGTAAGACTAGAGAATATTATTTGAATGTCAGAGGACATACGCACCCTAAACTATTCATATCCTCTTGTATTTCTGCTACAAGCACAAGCTTTCATGTGTTTTATTGGGATTTTATGTGACAAGCTAACACCAGTTGGCATACTTGCAAAGAGGAAGGAAAACCACAGATAAAGATCTAAATCTCTTCGGTTCACACAGCAGATCTTGATGCACAAATTCAGATTTTTTGCTGAAATTCGATTTGTTTTGTGTGCTTGTTCATACTAGTAATTAACTGCGACTGAAATAATATGTGAACGGTTTACTATCCCAAAACGAACTGCATGAGTAGAAGAACATTGACATAACACAGCAGCGCACTGCTTATGGATGTACTAATGGGTAAAGCTGTTTGTGCATAAATTTTAAAGTTTATTTAGCGATTGGAGCCGACATTATTGTCACAATATCATAACAAGAGGAAGGAAGCTAATAGAGTTGTGTTTTCTGGATCCCCTCAGCATGACCCTGGCACCACCTTGTTTTACCATGTGTACAGGGTAATGCCCAGTGTTGGTTTACCAGCGTACATTTTGCATGTAGGCACAAACATTTAACGCCGGTCTCGCTAGACCTGAGCGTTTTTTTTTGTTTTTTTTGTTTGCTTTGTCCCAGTTTTGGGCAGCTGAACAGCACCAGAGTTCACTTTAATCAAACCCAGACTGAGGTTTTTAAGCGGACCAGAGTTCACTATTCTGGTCCGCATTAAAGTTCGACTGTGTAGTCACACCTCCCCAAATGAACCGGACTTTCAAGGCAAATGGACAAGAGTTCGGCTAACCCTTGTTGGCTTGTGTGAATGCACCCTTAATGTTCCAGAAAAAGCAGAGAGGACTGAATCTGTTACCTTGATGTTTTTGATTTGCAGGCTGCCCAGCTCCTGTAGCGACATGCGGGAGTCCTTTCCCAGTAGACTGACCCCGTCCTTCAGCCAGCTGACGGAGGGGATGGGGTCTCCAGATGCCTGACACTTCAGCAGCGCAACACTGTCCATCCCCAGGGTCTGGTTGGACGGGCCTTGGCGGATGATAGGTGGGGGTCTGTCTGTGAGAACTTAGACAATAACAAAAACAAAGAAAACAAGAATATGGCATGACTTTACTGATAATGGTTGAATGGTTTTTATGTGAACTATAAAAATGACCCAATTCACAGCATTTTGCGTGACACACATTGGGAAGCGTGTGACTTAGCTGTCACAAAGCAGACCGTTTTTCTTCAAGTCTAGCAATTGTGCCACAAAACAATGAGTATTGCTGTATTTCCAAGAATTGTGGAAAGAAAAGCTGAGTAAGGTTTTCTAAGTTCATTGATGTGGCAGAACAATGGCATCCATTTCAACTTACTGCTGGGATAGTCTTATTTTTACACAGTACCCTAGACTCTGTGGTACACTTAGGCGGTAAGGCTAGCCTCGCCTTATTGACTCAATATGGGTCAGATAAATACTTCAGCATGTGCAAAGTCGGACACAAGAAAAGGTGAGTTTTAAATACTAAATGTCCTTCCATAGACATTAGTGTATGTTCTCAGTATTTTTGTAGTCACCCAAAGAAGGGCTTAACTGTTAATTTTTTTTTTTTTTTAAATACACGGTTTTAAACAGTCTACAATTTAAAAATTCAATCATTAATTTGTATAAGTATCTTTCTCTTCAAGGTGCAAATATTGAATTCTGTCTCTCAACTGAAATTCTTAACCACTAGTAGGGAAATTACTCAATCGCAGTCAGATTGGCTTGAGAATCCATGTGAACTTTAATTGTAAAGCCTTGACCCAGATTCCAAATCAGATTTAGGATTGGATTTTGCACCATTCCTACGCCAATGCTGCTACCACCTGGAAGCCAAACGTTGATCAAGCTCCTCCTAAACTCTTACAAGGTTCAATGATACTGCTGAAAAATAGTATCCTCATAACAAGATACTAGCAATTACAAATAAGCTTCACCATGGGAATGTTGCATTCTATGAATGAATGGTGCATTCATAGCATTTTAGATGTAGGCTAAAAGGTTACATTTAGCCTATATCTAAAAGATGTTCTTCTTTCACATATTTGCCATGTCTCCTAAATCGTTTGGGGTAAATTGCAACTCAGATATCCTATAGCTTTTGTTCAACAGTAGCTTCCATTCTGCCCTTTTAATCTGCTAATGCGCTA